TACAATATGGATGTCAAATTGAAGATCATCAAAAGATGATTAATTTGATATATTATATATGTAAAACCGATAAGAAATACAAAAGTTATCAACTTTTAAAATACATTTATGATTCAATAGCTTATGTAAGGAAACAAATCAAAATTCAAGGATATATTAGTCACTTAGTGTCTCACTATGTGAAATTACAAAGAATTAAAGGGTTATATTAGTAAAAATGATATTAAAATACCTAAGTTAGCTAAATAATATTTATGGAATACCCGAACCTAGATTATTAATTATTAATAAATCAATATTATTTATCCAAACCTAATTACGAAGCATAATTCTTCGCCAAATAGGATTCCGAAGCACCAGAAGCAGCCACGTAGGCTCAACGCATTCGAGAATTATATATAGGGAGGATTATTATTATTATCAATGAACCGTCTTTTTTATCAACAGTAACCGGAATTAGGGTTGATTTATTCAGCAGACCAAAAAAACGTTCTCACATCCACAATATCTCCGATGGAAAAGCTTAAGCAGGCGGCAGAGACAGAGGAGACTCTGTCCACAGCCATGGCCGACGATAGAATAACCCAACTGCCAATACATATACTTCACCACATTCTCTGTTCCCTCTCCCAGAAAGAAGCTCTGAGAACATGTATCCTCTCCAAAAAATGGCGCTACATAGGATCAACCCGCCCCAACCTCAAGTTTTCCGACAAATGGTTCAACAAGACACAAGAAAAATTTGTCTCCGTCGTCGACCGAACCCTACAAGGATTCCGTGATCAAAAACTATCCGTACACCAACTCCGTCTTAAAGTATCGAGACCCGACTCACAATCGGTCATCCCACTTCTCGACAAATGGATCACGATAATAGCCGCCCTCAACATAAAAGCGTTCAAACTCAACTTTCTTTCATATATTCCGGACTATTACGACCTGCCCTCAGCAGTGTTCTTAGTCGAGTCCCTCGAAGAACTACACCTGAACAAATGCAGGCTGAGCTCGGTCGAGAGAGTGCGGTGTAAAAGTTTGCGCACGCTCACCCTCAACTGGGTCCAAGTTGATTACGGCACTTTCGAGACGATAACTTCGGGCTGCCCTTTGCTCAGGAGCCTGGTCATTGATTGTTGTTGGGCGTTCAGAAATGTTAGGCTGAGATTGCCTGAGCTCAAGCACTTTTTATTGAATAATATTGAAGGGCGTAGCATCAAAATCGATGCCCCGAATCTCGAGACTGTCCGCATAAACGACCCGTGGATTTGGTCTGATCGCCAAAACACATGCGTGTTTTCTCGCCTCACGAGTTTGGATCTCAATGATGTGATCCTGTCGAGCGAGTCCTTCGAATTGTTATCGTTGCGCTGCCCGACTCTCGAGAGCTTGACCCTACATAATTGCTCTGCTTTCAAGGAATTCCATCTTGCAAGTGATTCGGTCAAGTGGTTGACCATCTCGACGACCAAAATATTGCTTCAAGGAGCTACGATTTGTGCCCCCAACATTCGCAATTTTACGTTCATTGCCCGAATTCCCCCAGCGTTGGAGACATTCTCTTTCACGACCACTACTTCCAAGGAGTGGTACTCACAAGTAGTCCTCTCTTCGTGTGAGGATGATCTTGATTTCGACGTCGATTCATGGTTCCTTGGGCTGAGACGAATGCTCAAGGCACTAAGTGGGTCTCGGATTTCTCTGTTTTTGCAGATGGATAGCATCCCTGAGGACGTGCCCTGGAGTCAGGGACGGAGCCACCCTAAGGCTAGGGTGGGCTCCAGCCCCATGTAATTTTTTGCTACCCTTATTTTTGCTAATTTTATTTTTTAAAAAATGTATACATAGACCCATTAGCCCCATGTAATTTTTTATATAGCCCCATTTAATTTTTGGGCTGAATGACTTAAGATTATCTTCATGTTAAAATTTGTTATCTGACAACAATGGTGGAAAAATGATGATTATAGTGAGGAAAAAGATAATCTTTTATTGTCAAATGACAATTGTGACCTTATTAGATTTTTATTAATTGAGTTTATAATGTGGCCCAACATACTCTTGTCTTTAAATTTTTAATGGGTTGACTTGACAAATATCAAATGAGCTGGATAATTAAGTTTGACACAAACTTTTCTAACGGGCTATTTAATTCGATTCGTCTCATTCCACAGTCCGTTATCCAATTTCATTTATTTTTTTTTCTTTCGCCTCCAATAATTAATTCGACATCATTTCCTAAACAAAGAGAAAACTCGTACAGAGTTGATTGAAAACATGTTCGATTTTATTTGTTTGATCGACAAGTACGATTAGCTATTTGAGTTTGGCTTGTTTAAATATAAAAGCGATTCGAGATTGAATTTTTCCAATTCAAACCGACATATGTTAGCAGGTAATTTGTTTATAATCATAACCAAAACCAGTTACAGGCCGAAACCGTCGATACCGGACCGAGAGTTGGAGGAGCATGAACCGACGCGAACATATATGAACCGACGCGAACATATGTACGGGTCGGTTCATTGGATTGTCGATTACTGGTCGTCCGGTTCATTAAAAAATACAAAATGATTAGAATAATATTTAAAAAAAACGAACCTCGGGTTCCAGTTCCAGTTCGGAACCAAAACAGCATGTTCAAAATGTATAAACTATAAAGTATTGTACATGAACCGAACTGGTCAAAACCACGGGTTTGTTAAAGACCATGGTCAACGGGTCTGCTTGTGTCGGTTTGGGCCGAACCGACATGCTGGGTCGGCCCATGACCATGTCTACAAGGTTCTAATAATAGCTACAATAATATGCAGCCCCAGGTTAAAAAAATTTCTGGCTACGCCCCTGCCTGGAGTGTTCTTCGCAGTGGCGAGCCGCCTGTGGTGGAGCCGCCTGTGGTGGTGCGGGACTTGAATTTTGCTACTAGTAAATGTCGCACGGTGTCTTGGTACATGGGATTTACGAATGGCTTGTTTCGTGTTTGTCAACCGAGTTACGTATGGGGTGGTAGCATCGTGAACGAGCCGGGCAGAAAATACAAGCTCACGGAGTTTCAGTGGAACATCTTTCTTGCAAACGGCAAAGTGAGGACCCAACCCTACTTTTTGCGGCACAATTTGAAGCAAGTGTTTGTGG